TATAACAAGGAGGGGGACACTTTCCGCAGCTCCTTTAATTGTTTGTTATTGTTATCACGATTATTCTTTAAAATAAAGTTATATAGTCATTAACGTTATTGAAACTGACAGCTGCTATACAGCTTGTTGAGAAATGAGGTTAAGTTGGTCGCTATAAGCTACTCCGTACGTCCAATGTGTCAGAGCCAACTTCGACCACGTTTTTATTTGAACGCTCGTTATATAACGTATGGAACTGACTATGTGAAATGCAATATCTGCTATGAAGCTGTTTCACTTTGGCTAGAAACTATATCCTGGTTAATAAATTGTTAATTTTATGGGTAGACATTCAAAAACCCGGTTTGGTTACTCTATAGATTTTAGCCTTGTTGGATATCGTTGGTGTTTTGAATCCATTGTAGTTGGTAAACGGCGTTACATTGGCCTCTCTGAGCTATAGTACTTACATGTGAAGTGATTTCTCAAGCGCCTTCTCTTTTTACTTCGCTTCTGGCTATCTCTGGCTGTCGGTCGTGATGCCGAAGGATTGTGATATACCGATAGTTAAAAGTTCGCTAGGAGTCTTTCATACGACACAGTCTATATTAAAGCTACGGTCACATCGGTTTCAACATCCTAGTTTTTAAAAGACATTCAAGTAACCTCAAACTGGTTTAGATTTGATCTGGTATAAATTGACCACTGCCCAACTGTCGAAGTACATAACAGTTCATTGATTTTTACGTTCCTTTTAAGTGCATTTCTAGGCTAAGGAGGGACTTCAATTCTTTGCTTATCTTCGATATTGTTGTCCACTCTATAAAAATGAATACAAAATATTCTTACACACGTGTTTTGTAACATTTTCCATTAAGTTATGGTGATATTATACAAATTTGTGCTTCATGGATATTTCGTAACTGTGGTAGTTGCAGGAATATCGAGGTGTTTTCGGCGCTATAACTTTTTATGAGTATTTACTTATTGGAAAATAGTACATGCTATCAACGTACAAACAAAGTAAAATATATCTTATTGTTTTATTACTTTTATGTTACCTTATCGACGTGTAATAAATATTTTGCATTCAAATACTAATTTCGAGAGAAATAATAAAACGTTAGACATAGAGTCATTAACTTGGCACACATCGAATTAGTCACGTGTCATGTGTAACGAGTTTAATAAGAATTTTAAACTTAGATCCATGTCAGACTTTGATTTTCCCCAAATTTCGTAAATTTTCGTCAAATTTGATTGATCAAGATAGTTCGAAGACGTCATTTTGGCGTCACCACGAGTTTGATAAAATTTATTTATGTTTGAACACAGCTGATTCAGTTTGGGGAGCTAATCGTCATGCAGAAATTGTATATATCGAGGATCTGTTAGAGTTCCTTCGAAAAAGTATGATCATGTGATCCCATTGTCTATTATTCCGGCCCTTTACTTTCTCTGGGTTCTTTGTGAGTGTGATATTATTGCACCCAATGTGGATCTTCAGTTGCCCAATACCCACAAGTTTGACGTTTCACACGACCATTTAGGTCCATGTCGGACTTTAATTTTCCTCAAATTTCGTCAATTTGTGTATGTAACGGTTTGTCATTGATCAGTGTAAAGGAACCATTAATAGTTTCGTTACCAGTACCAGCTCTGCAATTTTGGTTGCCTAAACTAGGCGGTCACGTGGCTTGTAAACATTTATGAAGGCTCTGTATCACTGTAAAAGCACTAAAAATTATATTAAAGATTATTTTCTCACACTTTGTAAGAACATTCTATACAAAGTTCTATTCTTGAACAAGTTCTTGTTGACATATGAGTCAAATAGAGATCCATTTTCCATTTGATTATGGAATTTGAGTTCATATATTTTAATCAAAAGTAGTCATTACCACCAGTAATGCCCTAAAACCATTTTTAAAAATTTTCTTCTGATCAACATTTTTTTTTGCAAAAAACATTTTCGTGACTTTAAATTAAAAAAATAATTGTGTAAAAACCATTACAGATACCTTAATGAAATTTTCAAGATGTAATATTTGTATTTTATATAAAAAATAAAAAATTAAAGTTAACTTATTTATTATCATATTTTTAATTAACTTTTAAATAAACAAATAAAAATTTTGATGATTTCACAATCAGATCATAAAGTTTTTTTTAGTTGTATCTCTCATACATTTAAGGTTAATATTCCGCAAGAAAATTTGAGTAACCGGCTATAGTTTAAACAACATAAATTTTTATATCACAAAGCGAAGAGCAGTGTTCGTAAACTTGGCTTGAACTCCAATCAGCCGACATTTAAAAAAACTTTTTTATAATTACACATAACTTTATTAAACTTTAACTTTTTTTAACATTATATTTATAACGAATAAATAAAAATAATATTGCTTTTATTAATAAACAGAGACAGCAAATATAAAATGAATAAATAAATGTAAATATTACAGTAACGTGTTAGTTTTTTTGCATTGTTTATTGGTGACATAATTAGAACGTACGAGATACGTTTTTCAAAGTAAGGTCCGTTTTAAAATTCCCGCCAACTATGGCAAAGAAGCAGCATCGCGCTTGTGTACTGCTTCTTTTAATTAAATCCTAGTTGATGGCTATTTTTTTGGTATTAGATATAATATTAGTGTGTTGGTAAACTATAAATAACGCTTACAATAGATTTTTCCCACAAATCAAACTTGGACATGCTGTTAAAAACCCAAAGACGTATTACTTCCGTATATCCCAGTGTCATTGTATCATTCAAATTATTGCCGGATTTTGAATAGAACTCTTTTTCTTCGTACCCATCTAATGACAGCACTGATTATAACTTATTCAAACATTATTACGTTATTCAGAGATTTAAATATGAAGACAAACTGAGGAGTGGTCTTAATAAAAAAATCAAGATATTGGCATGAAAGAAAATTACATAGGTATAGGGAAAAATAAATAGAAGTGCGCAAATATTTTTGGTATTAACAATACATCATTTAATAGTTTTACTAACTTCCTTTTATTTTAATATTATTATAATACAGTTTATTAGTATATTGAATACGCTTCATCGCTTCATATAAAATACAATTTATATACAATATGGGGCAAATGAAAGGAATATATATTATTATTTCGTAAATTGGTGACTTTCGACGAAAATCTCGAAACAGGTCTCAATTTCTATTTTTAAAAGTGCGTTCTGCAAGATATTTTACATGTGACGTCATCTGTGTGATAATGATGATCTCACCGTTGTTTTTTAAATACACATGTAGGTCATGCCATAGTTCTTTTGAAAGGTATTGTAATTCCCTATTCAACCATATCAGTAAGTTTCAGTAACATAATTTTGTATAGTGACAATGAAAAAATTGTGAAATAATAACAAAAAATGTATTTTTAACAACTCAAGTTACAATAGATTATCGAATTGACGACTCTCAATGAGAAAGTGATACAGAGAGAAGCGTGAACTTTTCTCAAACTTTGTCTATAATATGGAGTTATTTGTTCCATCTCTGTCCGCATGCATTCTTTAAATGTATCTAGTAGTGATCTATTTTGATATAGTTTGCTGTTTAAGTATCCCCATTAAAGAAACCTAGAGAACTTAAATTTGAAGATCTAGGTGGCCATTCAATTCCTCCTATCCACCTATTTCGAAAGACGTCCAAGTAGTTCCTTACCAACACAGCATAGAGTGGGGGTGAGCCATCCTGCTGAAGCCAAATCATAAATATGGTAGACTTGTTAAGGTTCCTTCGAAAAAGTATTGTTTCGGCGCTCTATCTGAGTGTAATATTGCTGCATCCAATATGAATTTTCCATCGATTTGACAGTCAGATCTATGGGATTTTATGTTGTCTAATATCAACAAGTTTGATGGTATATGCCACCATTTAGGAGGAATCCTCAGAAAAAAAGGAGTTTTTTAGAAACATGGGATTTTCTCCATTAAGATTTTACATAATTCAGCTCTTGAATTAATGATCCATGTTATTATCAACTGCTACTTGCCATGAACTGGTAAAATGATTTTTTTTTAATATTAGTAGAACATCTAGTTTCTTATTGTTGGGTACTTGTTTTCTGCTATCTTTAGGAAGGTCTTTTACATAAACCGTTTCCGTGAAGTGGATTGAAAAATTGTTTCTCGGTTGGGGTACTTATTATTAAATATAGTACAAACTTTTTTCTTAGTACTGGTGTTGTCTCCACATGTTGACAAAAAACTCTTTTAAATATTTATTTCTAGTATACGAGCATTAACTACTTGACATAAACCTTATTGATAAAACATTGACATTTTTGACAAGGCAAAAAATCTAGTAATAAACTTATAATTAAGGTTGTCAGAACTGAGCAGCGGCACAACAAATCAACAGTATACTAACGTGACGTGAACCTGAAAAGCATTCTGAGGCAGGGGCACACGCATATCTCGGATTTATAATATAATAATGTGTTTACCGGGAAACTTAAACAGTCACATAAGAAAGACAGTTTACAGTTATACTATTGAAGTAATTTGTTAATTAATTGTAATTTTAGATTTTTTTCTTTGCCACTATACAAAAATACTTAAACTTATTGATATGGTTGGACAGAGAATTACAAGATCTTTGAAAACAGTTATCGCATGACCTACATTTGTATTTAAAAAAACATTGATGACGTCATCAGTGTTACACAGTTGACATCATATGCAGAACGCACTTTTGGAAATAAAAATTGACCTGTTTAAGAATTTTTGTCCAACGTCACCGATTTTCAAAATAATGAATTTGTTCCTTTCATTTGCACCATACTGTATAAGGGAATGTTTAGTACAGTACAGGAGTTGTTAGTTATTTTACCGCGCACTCTTTAAAATAATTTGGCAATTTTTTCGTTAAGAATTCTAATGTGGCATGGAAAGGCTGTGTATTTATTTTTTGATTGTTACGTTAGTTGAATGTTAAAGATAAGTTTGTTGAAAAAACGACGAGCAACTTGGCATTGTATTGCAGTTTGGGCAGAGACCGGAGATTTCCGGGACGCCCACTCCGGGATGTCGGGCTCCACCACGATGGACCACCCCCAGCTGCCTTTCCCTGCTGCCGTTAGAAGTCGAACACGAGATCGAAAAGGTAAATTTATAATAAGTTTTTAATAAATGTATCTCATACAATCGTATACGGATCTATATGCGATCAACATATTATACTGTGACTTACGAAATTCATTGAATTTGATTGTGAGTAGTACAGACCTTGGAAGTATACAAGAAATTCATTGATCCAGTAACGAAAGTGGATCACAAATAAAATTAAATTTCTATCTTTACAGTTAGTATTGTGTTATGAAATTTAAGTATTTCAGGATCGGGTTAGGTACTAGTTATAAATGTAACTAATGTTAATTTCTAAAAAAAGGAAGTTAAATAAAAAACTTGCAGCTGTGAATTCAACTTTTTTCTTATGATATTGAATTATGTATAGATTAAAAGGCATGATAAATTGAATGTATATTATGCTTTAAAGCACGCCTTTCGGGATTACAATAACACAAGGGTTAGGTCTTTAGACAGACTCCTCGATTGATTGACCATCAAGTCCTAACACATTATTCTTATGACATGTTCTAACGGTTATACCTTTCTTTTCGTAAAATGTAGACCAGAATCATCAACTCATATGATAAAATATAACAAACAGAGTAATGCCTTCAAAAAATCATCAAGTTTGGTTTGTCACGCTTTTTAAAAACACTTTGTGTGCAACATTCGTTTTTGACATTTATTTCCGAGTTTAAAAACAGAAGAGTTAAAGTGTAGTATTTTAAAGAATGTAAAATTTTAATATTTAGAACGTTAAAGATGAATGTTGTTTAATGTATCACTTTCTTGTGTTCAGATATGAAGAAATTGAAGATAAATGTTATGACAAGATAAAAAATGTAGAAGGAAAACCAAAATAACCCAGGGATTTTATTGTAATGGCGATTCTATGGTGGATGTTCAGCTTTACAAATACATTATTAAGGAAACAAACAATTAAACATTAAAGTTATTGAAACTAGTAGGATATTTATTTTGAAAAATAACAAAATCTGCTACATATTTACAAAATTGCTTAGAAAAAGTTATAAATAAACCTGAAATCAATAGATACTTTTACATTCATAACGAACACATTTTTAAGCCACCTTTCTTAATATTTATACATAATCCGATATTCTCTGTTTTTGAAAAATGTGAGTTGTTTCTCGGTGGGAATATTACGTCTATTAAATGTTTAATAATGCTGTATACATTTGTATTAACCGTTTCAAAATTGCGCATGGCTTTATCAGAAATGTGGCCTTATTTAGTATACATTTTTGAACACTGATATATTTGTTATATTTCTCATACTACATCGGACAAAGAAAAACTGTATCTTTAACAGCTTTACTAACTGTGTAAATTGTATTAACATTCCGAAAGTAGATTTATCTGACCGCCAAATCCTTTTTACAAACATAAGATAAACAAAGATTATTTTTATTCCTGTAGCTTAAGAGATGCTTATGAATTTAATTTATAGACGGGACATATGCCAAGGGAATAAATTAAATTGTATTGCACTTGGTGTTTGTAAATATCTTCATGTGAACTGAAGCAGAGCCGTTGAAATTTTTTTTAATTAGGTACACATATTTCACGAAGTAATTTTGATGTACTAGAATGCACAGAACGCGATTACCACATTTTGATTCAGTTTTTGATATAACTTGATAGGAAGAAAGAAGAGAGAACAACTGGTACGTAAAATAGACATATAGTTTCATTTATATATTTTTTGGCAGTATGAAAGATGGTTGAATAATATTGGAACTGGTTGCCAAATCGTCGGTTTAGACTATTTGATGTGTTTTCTCGTTCAGAAGAAACTGTGAAACTGGAGATTAAGTACTCTGGTCGATATTAATATTTGCTACGTGCATTAGTCTAATTGATTCATGACGTTCTGATACACTGCTCGAACTTACTGGCCTATGAAATTCCAAACTGTACCATCCGGCCTAGAAACAAGGTATCATCTGCACATTAGTTCGTCGAGCATGCGGTAATTGTGAAAACTTAAACGAGGAACTAGATCATCACCTACAATTAGTTCTTTGGACACAATAACAAAAATATTGCCACCAGAATAAAATATCTATGGACAAAGAAAAGGAGAAATATTTGGCAACAACCTATCTACCCTATATACAAGAGTGTATTGATAAGATAAGCAACTTTTAACAAAAAAGAAATAATAGTATTGTTTAAATTATTATTAATATCGTTTATATAGTAGTATTTCAAGGAAGCAGTTTTTGTCTAAGACGATTTACTTCAAATGTACTGCGTATAGGGTTTGCAATCCCGCATTCCGCGTTACAGCATTCCAGCAATTTCCCGCATGTCAATGAGACCTGCGGAATTCCCGCATTTGTGCGGTAATTCCCGCGCGGGAAATTTTTTAATAGAACACGTCCGTTTAGCGACATAGCGCATGGCGTGCGCGAGCGCCCCGTTTGGTTTGCGTGCGCATCCCGTTTCCCTGTGATAGCATCGATCAATCGAGCGAAGGAAAGGATTAAAATCGGCAGATCTTTGCATCATTCAAACAAATTCCTTGATTCGTTTGTTTATTTTCGAGAAAAAAAGTGTTTACAAAGTGAAATTTTATATGTAACTAACAGTTTTGTCTTCTTGTATGTTACTTTAATTATACTATACTGCCCTACTTCGGAAAAAGACCGTATATGCAGTTTTGTGACAAATTGAGAAAATTACATATTTGAAATCTATATCGCATTATACCCCATCTATAAATATCAAAAATATCGTTTTTGTTTCTTTAAATTTAAAAATTTGTACATTTTAAATTTTTATTAGGTATTAATTTTGTCACATAGCAGACTTATGTACATGTATTTCATTAAGAGGTACATAGTATAAACGCCGCATGTGACCACATACGGCTTTCTTCTCTAGCAGAAGCGTTGAAATACGATGTTTTTAACAAATTAAATTCGTATGTGTTAACATTGCATTGTTTTAAATTAAACAACAATTAAATATTATTTGCAACACAATATATTAAAAATTAGTAAAATACCCTGTAAGAACATCCAAAATATCATGTATAGGATGTACATGTTCTGGTTCTTCTATTAATTTCTGTTGAAAATGTAGCACATACTGCACATGCAGCATTTTTACCTAGCAAAATCTTAAATTTATTAAGACAAAACAACATTTTCGACACTGTTTTCATTGAAATTGCAATGTTTTCTAACATCCTTCAAATACATTAAAAAATATTTGTTTTTCGTTTGCCATTACCGAAAAAAATCAAGTTATTACCTTAATTAGTAAATGAATGACAGCCAAATGAAGTATGCCTAATATCTCTTTGCAATTTTCTCTAAACTGTCATATTCCGAAGTATATTATCGATGTATCTAGCAAATATTTTTTTAGAAATTGTTACTACGATTAAATTACTAACCTAACCTAGATGTTTATAAATTTAGTAATTTAACAGCAACAAGTACGTTAAGTAACTAGAGACATAATAATATCTCTGTAAAAATAAAAAAGTAATATATTATTCATGTGTTGATTTCTGTTGATTCTTAGTTAATAAACATAGTTTTTAATATATGCTTATCTGTTGATTTTTAAATACCAAGAATTATTTATATTTCATTTGGTTAAATATAAACATTCCACAATAATAGCATTATTATTTTCATATATAAATATATTTTTAAATCTCTCGCGGGAATTACAGCGGGATCCCGCTGTAAAGGCGAATTTACCGCAAATTTCCAGCTGGAAAAAAAAGACTGCGGGATTGCAAACCCTAACTGCGTATAAAGGGTGTTTCTGAAATAAGTGTGTTCCTTGAAAAGGGCGTTAGAGGGCACGAAAATAAGCAACTTTTATTAGGGAACTGATGGTCTAACTAAAACATTACTTTTTAAATTAAAAAAAATTACATGAAGGTTTAATGAAATTTAAAGCCGTTCCTGGTATGGTAGCCAGCTGTACCTTTGATATCGAAGTTGCCGCTCGCTACATTGCGAAAGCGCTAATGGCAGTTTTGACGGTTCAAATTTTGTGTTCGAAAATGCTGAAATTTATTCAAATCTCGTCCAAAAGTAACATAAAAATTAAACGAATTGCTTATCAACAGACGATATGCTCTACAAAAATTATTCGAAGTTGTTTCCACGTGCTAATAAACATAATTCGGTCAAAATTCTGTTACCAACGCACCACACATTTACTGAAAACCGTTGCTGGAATCGTACATCTATGTACAACGTGAGGATTTGTATCAGACCAATAGTGAATGTTGTAGTATGTTTGTAATATTTAGTATGCAGTTTCTAGTAAAACAACATAAAAAACACCTTGCTTGTAAAATCCGGATTTTGTGTTAGGTATTTGATGTCGAAACGATGTGGACTCTTTATAGATGATAGGGGTGTAATAATTGTTGCCGTAGTACACATGCACAAGATGCACAGGATCGGCTTACATTGATGATACATTTTCTTAATTAATTTTCTCGGAAATAGAAGCATCTAGATAAACCATCAGTTGCTCATTTTCATGCCCTCCATCACTATTTTCAAAGAATTTATTTCAGAAGCACTCTATACTATATAGCATCTCGTGTAAAGATTCATAGATATAAGAGAAAAATTATCTACGTTTAGTTTCCACTGGATCTTAAAACAAATTGTATTTCAAGAATGTCGTTATATTTATTGAGAGGTTGTTTTGAACTAACATTATCAATAAATTTGTATAAGGCATTTAATTATCTTCATATTTAGCATGTATTTTTGTTATTATTTTTCCTTTATTTGATATTGCTATTGTTTTATATCATATTTCGTCTAAGTACAGGTATAATAGTTCTCCTCTCACGTTTATACTAATCTATTTTTGTCAAATATTCAAATCACTGGCTGTTTTGCATTTGGTTTCCATTGGACATTTTGTTAGTTTGTCCGCTTCTTCAATGTTTTTCATTGTACTCAACTTTCCATTGTCAAAGAGAGTTGAATGTACCTACTTGTACATTGTTTTATATTTTTCTTA